TTTTTTTTTTTTTTTTTTTTTTTTGTTTTTAAAACTTAAGAAAAAAAAAAAAAAAAAAAAAAAATCACATACTATTTTTATTACTGGGGATGTCTTCAAATTTGTTTTTCCTAATCATGGAAGACCAGAAAAACTTTCATATAAAAATATTTTTAAAAACGGCTCATTAAAATGTTGGCAGTGGCAGTTTCTGTTGAATTTCCACATTTTGTGCGATGGAAGCTTTACTGTAACCCCTTTCAGCTCATAGTTTCAATCTGTGGTCAACATTTGCTCTTTATGCTTCAGCGATCACTTGAAAGCATTGACACGGAAAGTGAGATCATACTCTCCTATCTTGCTTTGATCCACTTTGGGAGGCAGTCCTAGAGTTATCTCGACCATTAAATGACAGGGTGGGAGACGATTGCATGACAAGTGATGATGCAAAGCAAATCATACAAGCCAAAGAGGACAGCAGCACACAGAACGTCATCATAAACACCATAGAGAGGCGTTTGTGGTATATGTTTATCACTGTACTATGATACTGTACTTGATGTGCTTCTCTTTTCTATTAGGTTTACTTTGACATCCTGACTTAACTTTTTTTAAAAGACTCATCTCCTTTTACACTGTTAATGCAGATGAAGGCAAGAAAAGTAAAGATCAATAACTTCTACTTCCAGACAAAGATAAAAACCCACTGAATTTGATCTTTTTTTTTTCTCCATTTCCAAAAGTTGACTATGGCTATTCAATGAGTCTTGCTGGGCTGGGAAATGTTAGGCCTCTACCCAGATTTCTCAGATTTCTCTTATTCTCTGGCTTCGTTTTGCAGGTTTTTCAGCAGGCGCTACACAGACAGCCAAACACAGCAGCACAGTACCTGCAGCAGATGTATGCTGCCCAGCAGCAGCATTTGATGTTGCAAACAGCAGCCCTGCAGCAGCACAGCCTCAGCACCGCCCAGCTGCAGAGCTTAGCAGCTGTTCAGCAGGTCAGCAAACCAACCTCACCAGCATATGCATGCACATTTTCATAATTTGTTTAGTAACAAAATACAAACTTTATTATACTTTATTGGAATATTTTTTTCTTTTTTGTTGAAGATGCATGTAAATGATGTCTAAATGACTTATAGACAGGGATGCATAAAATATTAATTGTGTAACGTAAATGGATTCTATAAGCAAAGCCGGGTCAATATTAACAACATTTATTTCAATTTTGTTCCTGTTAGTATGCGTTTCTTGAGGGGAGGTTCTTTCTTGTATAGTGTCAAAAGGGACATGTTATTGACCATACCAGTAATATTAATCTTAAGTACCTGTATTAGACCAAATTGTCATTTTGGTGCATCCATAATAGTAATCCAGACTTTATTTTGGTAGTTTTTGTTTCAAAGTGAATTTGATTTAATTTAATTTCCAATTTTAAAATGTTTATTCGAAGTCTAAATGTAAACTTGTTTTAACTAGTGGGTCAAAAAAAAAAAGACCAGCAGCAGTAAACCTTGAATCTGCAACCTTTTATTACTGGTCCTGTTCTTGTTCAAGTGTAATGCAAATATATCACCAGTAATATGTCAGTCAGGTACCTTTTATTGTGTATTTTCAGGTTTGTACCATTGATGCAATCATAATATGAGGTGGAGGAGTACGTACAAATGCATGCCACACTTTTCAGATTAAAAAAAAAATTTTAAAATATTTTTTTTACTTCCATTTCTCAATTATGTTCTAGTTTGTGTCTAATTATAATAAAGAATCTTACTGGTTGTTCTATAACAAAATATTACACTTTTGCAGGGAGCTGCTGTCCATTCCTGCACTTCATGCTGCTGTAGACCTGCCATAAACCCTGTTTCAGAAACTGAACCTCTTTGTCCTCTCATCTCTTTTATGCTTTATGACAGGCCAGTATTGCAGCTGGCAGGCAAAGCTCCTCACAGAATGGCACTTCATCTCAGCAAACAGGGTCTACTCAAGCTACAGTAAGTGCAGTTTTTAGTTTTGAGCTTGTTGCTTAAAAGCTTTTCAAAGTTTAGATTAATGTCTGGTTAGATCATCTTGGACATAAAGTGACGCCAGGAACCTGGAGCTTTCATGTCTGTCCAACGTTAACAAACTGCTTTACTTTTGAAGAAATTGAATGAATGTAAGCCGTCTCTTTAAATCTGAAGTGCTGAATTAAAGAATTGTTGTGCTAATATCGTCAGAGGTATGAAGGTCTATAAAATAATAATGCTGTTAATTCCTTCCCAAAGATCAACCTGACCACATCCCCGGCGGCGGCTCAGTTGATCAGTCGGGCCCAGAGCATAAGCTCCACCCCCACCAGTATTTCCCAGCAAGCTGTTCTGCTCGGCAGCCAATCCACTCTCACGCCCAGCCAGGCCCAGATGTACCTGCGGCAGCAGATGGTGAGAGCAGAGAGACGAGGAGCAGCGCTTCTGGCACATTTACACAAGCTTCAAACATTCATTAGTAAAACACACTCATAAACTGCCTTTGAGACTAAGTTTTTGGATCCCTATAAAATGGTAACACTCCAGATGTGGCTGTAGTACAGTCTGTGGAGCTGTGGTCCCTAAAAAGAACAGCTTAGGAACACAAATGTACACATGTGTGGTATTGTCAGAGGTATCTGTCATGTTATTAACAGAAACAACCACAAATCAAATGTTTGAATCTGTGTGAAAATACTTTCTTAATCCCCAATGGAAATTAAATGTTACATCGCAGACTGTCCAGATGTCTTAGCAGAGCCATTGTAGACAGAAAAGTTCAGTAGAGCTTTTCTGCAGCAGTCTGTCTCACAACAGCTCAGAAGAAGCCGGGCTGAATATATGTGGTGTGACAGTCTCCTGAAGAGGATGCTCATGGTTGTCCGCTAGGCTCTTTAGTTTATGAATCCTTCTTTGCACTCTGTGGTGGCAAAGAAGGTCTGGTCTTTGCACGATAATCTCTAGACGTTTTAGTCTAGAGCAGAACCATCCTTCTCTATCATCTTTTTAAACTTCTTTAAGTCACGGTCTCTTATGGTGCTAATCAAACAGATGAAGAAGGTTACACAACTTGCCTCAACAGGCTTATTCAATATCTCATAAGCTTAGACTTTCTCAAGAAGTACAGTCTGCTCTACCCCTTCTTTTAAAAAGCTTCACTTTTGATTTTTCCAGTCCAGTCTGTTGTCCAGGTGAACACGGAGTTATTTCCCCCATGATGGAAATAGTATTTGATATTTTTCCATTTCCCTTGAAATCTGTCTTTCGTATGGTCTCATTCAAATGAGATGATTATTTTTGCACCATGCCACAAAGCGGTCCAACAGCTCTCTGTACTCAGAGAGTATGACTCATCTCTTGTACTGGAAGTCTGATGTGTACAGAGTGAAACGCAATGGTGAGAGCACAGTTCTTTATTGTCTTTTTTGCTGCTGACTACCTGGTCAGACATACACACAATCTTTTTAGTGTTTACAAACTATGGTCGGTCTGCCAGGTAGTCATTTATCCAAGTAATTGTGGGAGCATGCATCTTCCACGCCCAGCAATAGATTTAAAGTTGTGCCTCCTCACTTTTTCTAACCTTAACTTTAAGTGGCTGTAGCTATGGATCATAACAACTGTGTCAAGATAAAAAACATAACAGCATTACAACTGTCTCCAAAACCAGTTTGAAAAATCTTCCAGAAAACAATGTAGCAACCAGGAAAAGGGGGAGGAAAGTTATTAAGACAATTGAATTACACAGAATGTGTCAAAGCTATTCTGACAAGCTGCCACATTGCATTTTAGAATGAGAGTGCCACACAAACCTCCCTGCACAATTGCATGTTGATTAACGAGAGCAACCTGGGAAGATTGTGTTGTTCCTCTCCGGAAATGGACTTTTAGTCATACTGCCTTTTCGGTTTCAGCTGTGCAGGAGTGGAACTCTGTCCATCAAACAATCAGCGCTCATACCACTTATATTCTAATAAAAAAAAACAGTGAAAGAAATGGTTCATATCGCATCAGATCTGCCAATATTTTGAACATTAAGTACCTAATCCTAACCCCACCATGCAACCAACTGTGTTTTGTTATCTAGATGAATTAATTAGTTTTAATTACTTATACTTTTTGGGATAATTGCGTTTTTTTTGTATTTATTGTTTATATTTGTTGACAAAAATGTGTGTAGTCAAGTCATTTCAACCTTGTTTGTATGGCCTTTGTTTGTTTTTAGCAAGACAAATTGAGAATTATCCAGGGACAGCAGATGAAAAATAGCCTTTTGGCTAATTCTGTTTCATTTGCAGAAATGTTAATTAATGTTCCTATCAAATAATTTACTTTACATGTGACTATGTATAGATTCACTTAATATATGCTCAAGTGATTACAAATTTTAGTTGTTTCTTACCGTTGAGAATAAAGGGATAACAAAGCCAGAATAGAACAGAACATTTTTTTTGCGGTTTTGTCTCCATTTTGCAGTTTATGATTTAATTCACTCTCACAATTTTATTATTATTTTTTTTAATGTTCAGTTCTGATTTAAATTTTTAATGTGTGGCTCTTTGCAGGCTCAGCAGAGTAACCTGGTGCAGGTGGCCAGGAGTCTGAGTCGGGCCGTTCCCCTGTCCCCACAGCTCATCTTCACCCCAGCTGCTACCGTAACGGCTGTTCAGTCTGAGAGCGCCACACAAGCCTCCTCACAGGTAGACTGACTTTACTGGATTATAATAAATAACATTCCAGTCAGTTGACATCATATTTGTTAATCTATTTATTAAAGGAAGTTAACACTTTTCCACGTTTAACAGAATAATGGTTTGGAATATAAAATCATATTGTTTAAACTGCTTTAAAAAGTGACTGAATATCTGTTTTCTATGCCATCCTCCAGACATAATTTGTAGTTTATGTCTTTGTCTTAAGAACCAGGTTCAGAACTTGGCTATTCGTGGCCAGCAGGGGGCGACCACGTCCTCCTCTCAGACTCAGACCCTTCCGCTGAGCTTGAAGCAGAGTCCGGTACCCATCCAGCCTGCTTCACTCATCAAGAATCCCAGCCAAGGGACCCAGACCTCCTCGGGTGTGAAGTCCAGTTCGTCTGACAGCCCACCAGATGGAGCAAAGAAAGGAGATGGTCAAGCGGAAGTTCGAGCTATAAATATGAGCCGCAGCATCACAGCTGTGAGTGCTCAGCCTCTTATTGCACCAGGTAAGTGGAGGTTCTCTTTAAAACCTAATATCAAAGACTATCAGAACTTTATTTTACCTTTCTTTTATTATGGGACATTATTTGCCATTTATCTTTAAAAGCACTGAATTTGTCACTGGAATTTCTTCTTTTTATTTGCAGACATATACATTAAAATGTTAAATTGCCTAGCAGCTGCTTCCTGCCACCTTTTGTAATTGCTGCTCGTTTCAAGCCTAAAATAAACCTGAGATTCCAAGCAGCTGTCGGATTCACACGAGAAATGCAATGTTGCGATTGCATTAAGATTGTGTAAGAAAGTATCAAGACTTTTTTTGTTTCCACTGTTTTCTTAGATTGTGACATGTCTGGGCTCGCACCAGAAATCCATTCACTCGCTAAAAGAGCAAACAAGGCATGTTATAGATGTTGTTTTGGTTTGTTAAGAAAAGTCTGGCTGGAACACATAAAAGCAACCAAACGTTTATTAGCAGTGATATATTTTTTTCTTACGATGCTAATTACATCAAATGAAGTCATGCTTTTCAGATTCATTTTCTCATCTAAGAGGGTTTTATTTAGATAATAAAGTTAATTGTGTCATTTGTGCACAAGTGACCAAATCTTATGTATGAGTTGAACTGTAATGCAGACTAAATGCTGCATTAATGCACAGTATTGTTGCCGTCTGCCTCAAACGCTCAAACGTGTGCGCATGTTTTCTTTTTTTGGATTCTGACGAGAGTGGGAGTCGGATTATCCGAGCGTGTCAGTGCACAACTGTGCGTTGCTTTGTTTCAGTAATGGATTCACGCAAAATGAAAGGGAGGATGGAAGCTGGAAATCTGGCTGCGTGCTGTCTGGTAAAAGAAATGAACTTGGGTTGCCATGGCAGCAGGCCACAAGGGACAGGTGTGCACATGAGATGCTGGGGAGTTAATACGGTGAACAGGAGCAGCGGCAAGGCACTTTTATTCGTATAGCACATTTTCAGCAACAAGGCAATTCAACGTGTTTTGGATGATTAGAAGGAAAATAACACAAAACAAATGAGGGAAAATGATGAAAAACAGATGAGTTCATGATGTTCCAGGGGTTATTGATCAACGGCAGCTCTAAACAGGTGGGGTTTTAGCCTCGATTTCAGCCGTTTTATGGAAGTTTGTTCCAGATTTGTGGTGTATAGAAACTGAATGCTGCTTCTCTGAGTTTAGTTCTGGTTCTGGGGATGCAAAGTAGACTTGAACCAGAAGGGCTGAGTGGCCTGGATGGTTGACAAAACAACAGATCATATTGAGGCTCTCCCACACTTTATCCAAAGCATTGAAATTGGCTCCCATTGACGTAGTTGTATAACAAAAAAAATATTCCATCATCCACTGTTCCTTCTCGACACCAAGCTCTGGTCGAACTCTTTTCCACAGAGTACTGTGTTGTACGATGTGTTGTATGATTGGTCAGACGTTTTTGGACGTATTTTATGCAGAAGTGCACTCGGACAGCAATGTTAACATTTCGCTTCAACTATGTAGTTTTTGTATCCACAGGCAAAACATGAATACTTTTTAGGAGCATTTGTCAAACACGGTGAAGAAATGCGTACATTTGTACGATTCGTCACAAAATACTAACAAAGATTGTCAAATTGCTAAAAAAAAAAAATCATGGATTGAAAATACAAAGTGGTTGTCCACGTTTGCAGAAAGGTACAGCCTTCCAATGAAGTTTGGGAGAGCCTTTAGAAAACCGGGTAGAATGACATTGGAGTTTCTCCATTGAACCGTTATGATCAATGGAGGAGATGGTTTGAACTTCTCCCTTCTCTCTCTGCTCTTTGGTCTTACTCTGCTTCCATGAAACATCATTTTCAACTCCTATGGGATTTGTCATAGTTCAGGCATTGTTTAAGCTTTTCAGATGCTAATCTGTTGCTCCACGTTGTAAATAAAAAACGTTTCCACTGTTATGCATCATAACATCTGTAAAAAAAAAAAGTGAATGCTTCAACCAAATGCTTCAACCAAAAATAATTAGATTACACATGGATTGTACTGGACAAGGTAAAAACACTGGAAAATACTCCATCATCACATCTTTAGGAATTGCACACCAGTAGCCTTTTTAGAGTGACTCAGTTTCTTGTTATGCATCTTCTTTTTCTGTTTTCTGCGGGGGGTTTTTTTTCCCCAACTCTAACATGATTTCAGAGTCCTCTACACTAAGCCATCATATTGCATTGCCTGCTGTTGCTGTGTTGTAGTTGTAGGTTGCAGTGTGTTTGATGACAGTAAGCTGATGTGGCAGCCAATGAGAATGTGGAAACTCCGGGATTTTCCAGAGCTGCAGATACTGAATGGAATGTATACTGTTCTCAGTTTCCGGACATTGCACAACAGCCGTACAACTGTTATTCACAGTTGTACAGCTATTAAAATATTCCTTTTGGGGGAGTTGGACTCACTGCTGCATAAAACGGATTGCATGATTTGCATGTGTGTGGGCGTTAGAAGGGAGCGGCATCATTGCAGACATTAATCCAAAATATTCGAGGAGAGATGGTTTTTACATCAGTTTTTGCTTCTCTTCTGAGACTTCTCATTAAAGGTTTGACAGAGTTGTCAGAATATATTGAGAGAGCAGATTGAATCTGGCAGGTACCGATTCAGAAATCCTCCTACTTTACTCATACAGTGTCTGGGAATCTCGTGACGAAGCGAGCGTCTGTTTGATTCCAGAACAGTTCTTGCAGGCGCTCTTTGTTTTGAGAAAAAATAATCAATGTCCAGTGGCAGGGTATTGTTTTGTCGTGTGTGAACCACATTAAGGAAACGACCCACAAAGCAAATGGACCGTTGGCAGGCATAGAGTCCAAAATGATGGAGCAGACGCAGATGGATCTGACTAATAGTCTTTTTGCAGCCCTGTTGGACCCTATATGATCCTATATCATGCTTTGAACATCTCACATGTTTAATACATCATCAAACACTGAAGTGAAGTTTGGCACAACTACAAACTTACCAATAAGTTGTCTTCCACCTAAACTGACGGGTTGGCAAGGACAGTGTGAATCAGTAAAAAAGCTAAGCCTCTTGGAAAATGATTATCTTGCACTTCATAGCTTTGGCCTAAGTGTGAGAGTTGGAAGAAGGGAGACATAAGAAGTCATATTTCCTTTGGCTGAACTGGGCCAAATTCAACTATTTAGCTCACATACAAAAGACGAAGTTGGTTAGCACTGATTGGAAGATGGATAGTGTTAAATGTAGGACAACCCTGATGGAAAACCTGTTAGCAGCTGCAAAAGACTTTAAACTGGTGCAGAAAGCATTACTTTGGGATGATTTAGATCAAAGCAAATGTGTGTTAAAATGATCCAGTCAAAGTCCAGACCTATTTACAAATGAAAATCCGTGGTAAAACTTTAAATTTAGAGATTAGACACTGTCAAACAAATCTAATCAATCTTATATCCTTGAGGTTTTTTGGCAAAGAAGAAAAAAAAACAGACTTTACTCTCTAAATGTGCAAAGCTGGTAGAGACATAACCCAAAAGATTTTGAGCCGTAATGACAGAGAGGTTGGGTTTTGCGCAATCACTCTCAGGGGACGCCTACATATGAACACCACATTTTTCAGATTTTCATTTGTAAAAAATAAAAAAAAAGAAGAAAATAAAAGGCAGTTCATTTCACTACACAGTTATGCACTTCTTTGCATTAAAAAATAAAACATTAATGAAGTAGAATGAATGTTTTTGTTGTATTGTCTCTAAATGTTGAATATGTAACGTTCTGTATATTCTGTCTTGTTAGCTCAACAACTTTTCACCACTTTGTTTTTAGTTTGCTGCATAGAAGCAGCATTAAAATTTATAAAATATTTTATTAAAATTTATAAAAACTAAATAACCTACATCATTATCACTGTATTTTTACATCTAAAATAAAAAAAATTCCCAAATAAGGCCTATTTTTATAACTAATCTTGGATCCCTTTACGATGATATACACTTTTTTACAGACATATGTTAAATCACATTACTGTCTAAATTATTTGTAATGATAACAATATTTTTTTTTCCCAATAGACAGAAATGCCTTTGTTATTGTTGGTATTCTATGGGCTGGTGGATGTTCATTATGCCCTACATTGCTTTCAATTTTAAGTTTCCATCTATTTATTTGCAGCGCAGTTGTTTGTATCCATCCATGCTAAGCTCAGTCATATTCCTCTAATTCATTCTAAATATTCACTTAAGGTTCTCCATGTTTGCCACAGCTACCTCCATCTTCTGTCAGCGGGTTCCCCCGTCTCACCATGTGAGAAAGAAAACATTTTCCAGCCCATTGTATCGTATTAAAACCCCTATAGACATGCCAACTCTGTTGGATAGGACAAGAAAAAAAAACATCTATATTTTCCACAGCAGGATACAGACTGCGGTTAATGCCTCACAGGGGAACTTTGAAACCAGATGGAGCCGATTCCACACAAAGCATCGTGAAAAGAACAGGGAGAGGAGGGTGGCACGAGGGGGATCTGGGACAATCGCTGATTAACTTGGCAATTTTCCACTCAGATTTATTGTGAAGGTTTATCAACATAATGCGGCACACCTCCATGTTCACACAGGTTGTACAGCAGGAGCGACCAAGCAGCACTTTGGAGTAGTAAGTCATTCCTTGATTGGGTTTAGTAGTAGCACCATGGTTATTAGGTTTAATGTTTCCTGGGGGATTTGCTGGAGATCAAAGTGGAGGGAGAGAAGTTGGGGCCTACAGACTCTATAAAAGTGTCACGGACAGTCGGCTCAGCGGGTTTCTTCCTGAGGTCTTTCTAATATTAGAGCAGCCCGAGGCTACTTCCGCAGAACACCATCCCATTTTCACATGTTGCCACAATACAAGATTGATGTGCTGCGTCTCTGGCTTCAGGGCAAGTTATGATCTCAGGATGTCTCTTCACCTACAATGCACAGACAGGTGCTGACAGGCCGTTTTGAGACAATTTGTGGGTAATGGTCAGGTCAAAACCCAACATTGGATTTGTCGGTGGACCTTTCAACATGCTCCTATTATTACATCTTGTCAACAGAGGGGCACACAGGTGAAGGCAGCACTACGAAATGAGATCGTTTGTACAAACCTCTATATTTTTCACTGTCTGAGCCCGAGGCAAAGTGCTGCAATTCACTTTCCGCTTCCTCCTCACATTTTCTCAACTGTAATTACTTTGCAACTCATCAAAGGTAGTGGATAATGCCCTGTAGATAAAGGGAGAAAGGGTAAGGTGTCTTTGTTTACAAGCTTTAAACCCATTTTTATAAGTAAAACCAACTATTCTTTATATAAATTTGAAAGAAAAGGATCTATGGAAGAAATTGTAATAAGTTAGTGAAGCCGTTTTCCTTTAAATTGCTACAAGCTTAAGTGCTTAATGTTTGGGACATAACAGAGGTGCCTTAAGGAGCTGCTGTTCTTTTTCCAGCGTACACCCAGATCCAACCTCATTCGCTGGTTCAGCAGCACAAACAGCAGCAGCAGTTTGTGGTCCAACAGAGCCAAGGTTCCCAAAGGACGACGGGCCAGCTGCTGCAGACTGCCTCCATTCAGCCGTCACAGCACCCCGTGCCTGTTCTACCCAAACCTGCGCCTCACCAGCCCTCCGCTCCCAGCCAACAGGCCACCATCTTCCACTCCACCCTCAGCTCCCACGCTCTTCACTCCCCACTCAACCAAACCAAAGCCCAGCCAGTCCAACTCACTGCCATCAACCTGCAAATACAGCCAGCGGTATGTAATTTGCGGATCTACTACTAATTACTCACTATATTCCTTTTCTGCCGCATGTGAAAGAATGAGAGATTAATTTATGTACTATTTTATTTTTTTGTACAATTTTGACAAAACTCAAATTACACCCTCTACCAGTTCAAAGGTTTGAAATTATCTGAATATAATTAAATTAATCGGATCTTAATCTGGAACAGAGATGTGTAGCAACTCAGTGACACGGAGGAAAGACATCATCAATGAACTTGAAGAAGCAATCATTGCTGCCCATCAATCTGGGAAGGATTATAAGGAAATATCCAAATAACATGGAATCTGTTGTTGGATTAAAACAATTTTAAACCTAGAATAGGCCAGATCATCTTCATTATATTCTGGTTCTAAACCTTGAGACTAAAAGAAAATATACTTTATTTTTGCATTGAGTTTTACAGTGATACTTTTCATCTGGAAAGATTTTATTTTTTTCTAAAATGTGTTGGCTGAAAAGTTCTAACAAGAGAAACAAAAGCTGTTGTTGCTACATCTCACAGATTCTGCATTTCTCATTCAAGACAGATGTTTTGGAGGTAGAAGTCACTGAAATCTTCTGGGTCATCAGATTCTTGTTGTAATATTCTCCTTGTGGATTTTCGCTCTCTGAGATTATCCCTGAATCTTTTAGTTTCTGTTCTCACATTTGCACTCCTTTTTATTGTTCTTTCTGCCTCTTTTAGACCTCACGACCTGTACAGGAGAGTAAAGATAAGCCAACCTCATTAGTAGTGAGGGAGACAAGTCAAACCCCATCCACTCAACAACAACAACAGCAACAACAGCAGCAGCAGCAGCAACGACCTGCGTCTTCTCCATCACATCCCTTCAAGCCTGGAGAACAGCCCAACGTTAACGCTGCGACCCCACCTGTCCCGGCACAAGGTAAAAGCTCAGCAGAATTCACTATGATGGCTAAAACCTTTCCCCAGTAAGCGGCTACTTGTCTTTTAAAAGGTTTTTAATCAGAAATCATTCTCTTTTTGTTTTTGTGCATGTATGCTTTTAGGTTAAAATTGGAATGAGGGTGTGCTACTGGTGCTTATAAGTTTTGCTTGCATACTAATTTACTTTTATATATATATTGTTATATATTATGAATGATTTACATCAAGATTTCAAAAAAACTTCTTTTCTCCAAATATGAGCCCAGATCTCAAATAGCAGATTATTTATATCATTCCGAGACAACATTTTTTATGAATGTCGGAGAGGAAAATCCACATTTGCCTCTCTGACATTTAAGTTTGGGTTTGGTTCAGCAATATACCATAGGGGCAGTTGATTGCTTGAGTCATGTTTTTTTTTTTTCTTCCCATTTCGCAAGAGTGGATTTCATGTCTTTGAATAATGTGTGTGAAATCCAAAGAGCTGCATGTATAATTCAGTTAAACACTTTTATATGCTTTTATGCAGAAACCCCCAGATATTCAACTTCATCAGCTAAAAAAAGAATTGCTGCAGTGTTGGAGTTGCTTCATTTTGTGCTAAATGTGCACTACGTCATTTTTTTAGATGGATTATTCAGATACAAAGTGTTCACTAGTTTATTAAGGTTATGCAAAGATGATGATGCTGTAGTCAAATAGCTTAGCATTTCTCTGACACTGTATTAACAACTGGGCCAACATGGAACTCATTGCAAAGTGAAGCCTGACGTAAAATCCATGAAGAAAGAAAAAGGCTAAGAGAATGGAGAGCTTTTAAAGTCACCTGTCTATCTACAAACCAGCCTGGTTTTACCATTACAATCAGCTTCTTTTTTTTCCCAGAGACAGAACTGACATCCTTATGCAATGGTGTGAGAAGGTATTTACACATTCTCATGATCAAGCTAATTTCAGTAGAGTACTTTTATTAAGATGCTGTTCAACAGCCCAGGGCGTTCTACTGTAGAATCCGACATTAACCTCGCTTTTACTTCCATTCACAGATCCCAAAATGCTTCTTCTAATTTTGGAAATCAACTTTTATGATTGTACAACCTTTTAAGACGACTTTCTGTCATTTTTCTCCTTGGCTTCTTCGCTAGCACCCTTGTGTGTGTACAAATGCCAAGCCATGCTAAAAATGGAAAGCATAGCACAGAACTGTTTTTGACTAATGAAGAGTTGCACAATATATCATCCAGTTAAACATATTATGAAATATTGTTTGGAGTGCAATATTTGTTGTTGTTTTTTCAGATGTCATGAATGCACACTTTGCATGCAAAGTTATTCACCCAGTTGGAGGGAGCCTCATTCCAGCTAGATGTTCATACTTGACAAAGATGATGCAAAGATGGTGAAACCAGTGCTAGAAGCAGTATTGCAGTATTATTGACAATCCAGCTTGTCATACTTGATAGAATATGTTCTTTGTAAAATTGCTGTTTATTGTGGCAGAATGTTGGAGTGGCTTTGTTTGTTCTAGTTTATTTTTTTTTGTTGTTGACTTTTGGTCATAATTTTATTCAGGTTGAGAGGATGCATGTTTGGAAAGTTGAGCTGAGAGGAATTTTGCTCTTATCTTTTTACTTTCGGATAATTGTTATGATGCATAACTGTGGCAAGAAAGAATTGCTTTTAAAACTGGGAGCAGTTAATTAGCATCTCAAAAGCTCAAATAATACCTGAACTTTGACCCCAAATCCCAAAAAAGTTGAAAAAGAGGCTTTCTGAATCCAGAGCTGCACCAAAGAACAGAGCGAAGAAGAGGAAGTTGAAATCATCTCTTGTATTGAATATAATGAGCAAGGATCATATTCCCTCCTTCATCATCTTTCTCTGCCCGGCTTTCCAACCATACATTGTTTCCATAGTGTTTCTCAAAAACTGGTGGAGTCATCCAGGACAGGTTACTGTGGAACAGCGTCTCTGCCACCCAGAAATTGAGTTGTTGGCATGTCATGAGACTGTCCTACAGCAATGATCTTCAGTCAGAGGCTTGTTCAATTTCATTGTCAGTCTGACTGCTACTACATAGCTTTCCTGCCCACAGCATCACCATCCACAACAAATCCATGAAGACACTTGGATAAGAGTTGCTAGTCTCATTTAATTTCCCTTTGGGTTAAACAGTTTCTTTTAATTGAATTTTGAATCTATTTGAAAAAGATTGGTGTTCTTTGTGATTGCAGCTTGAATTAACATCATACTGAAAATCCACTGAAATAAAGATCTTAAATGTGCTTCCAAATATTTTCAGTTGTCAGTATGACGTTTTATTTTATTAATTTTTAATGAGTTAAGTTACTGAAGCTTGATCTAAAGCATAGTTAGAGTTCATTATTAAATATATTTAAAATTACTTGGCTTTGTCAGTGATTCAGCACTCAAGCAGTGACATTTTTTCATCAGGGAAATGTATCCTTCACTCCTTCTCAAGGAGTGAAGACAATGGTGTTATTTAGTGGGGTGGGGAGTTTGGAGCAGGGGGCTCATAAACTTTAAAGCCCTATTTACGGCCCTGCTCACCGGAGACTCGGAGTCGAAAAAAATATTTTCAGTTGTTTAGTCTGGAAGTGAAGGCTGTTTGCTCGGTGCTTCCCGGTGGAAAAGTGTTGATCTCTGCAGCTTGAGCTGGAGGAGGGAAACGGCGGAGGCGGGTCCTGCTTTCAGACTTTTCATTAGCGGGGTGTGAAGAAGCGCCGCTGCAGCTTTAAGTCGCTCTCGGTCTGTGCAGCTGCCCCGTGTGTTGCTCTGACTCGGATCATTAGAACAACAAAACACACAACACGGCACATGTTTTCCGTCTGAACAGCGCGGAAGTTGCGCGGTAAGAAAGCTCTCATTCAGCGCGGGTGACTGTAGGGTGACGGGATCTTGATGTTTACTTTCGCTTGTGTGGCTTTTTTATCCGATAAACACAGCTTTTATCAGCACGACTCAAATGGTTGGATGGAGATAGCTGCGTGCTTATTGTTCATTGAATTGTTAAACATGGTAAAAGTTCACTTTTGACCGCCGGAAGCGATGTTTTAATGAGCAAGCAGGTGGATCTGACGATCATGCTAATACACAATGCAATGCCGATGCTTGTTTGTAAAGTCGGTAACAACAAGATGACGTCATTTACATTAATATCAGATTATCCTGCGGTTTTAAAAAAATCTGAAGGTTTTACCTCCGTAAGCAAGAGCACTTATTTCGATCATATCCGGAATTGTATTAAATTGCTTAATGGAAACTTATAAACATCCGTGATCTTTATTAAAGGAGAAAACTTAAACTTTTAAGAAATATTACAATGCAAGTCTTCTAGGGAATATATTTAGTACTTATGCTCAATAATTGATTTAATGCTGAGATATAATTGATATATAAGCTATATAACAACTTTCATTCCTAGATGACATATCAAATGTGTTTCAGTGGTATCATGCCAAACCCACTTATATGTGCTCTTGTGCTTTTTAACATTTCTGAAACAATTCTGACATTTTTTTTTAATCCCCAAGTCTCTAATCCAATTTAAAACACAAACATTTCTCTGCTGTTTCACCTAAAACATGAAATGTGTCCTTTTCCCGGTCAGGAGGGGGCTCAGCCAAGAGGCCAGTTACAACACCTGGGACCCCACCTCCGGCCATGACCTCTGGAAATGAGAGCGAGGCGCCTACTGTGACGGGCAGCGCGCCGCAAAATGGAGAGAACAAACCGCCGCAGGCCATAGTCAAGCCCCAGGTTCTCACGCATGTCATCGAAGGCTTCGTCATCCAGGAGGGAGCTGAGCCGTTCCCTGTGTGTGTAAGTGCCCCCGACCTCAGATTTACTGGCAGAGAAACACGGTAAACAACCAAGAGCCGGCACGTTCTCCAGTGTACATGCCTGCAGGGAGCTGTCAGCAGGCGAACACAAACCCTCTGTTGGTGCTTGTAGTGACAGCTCACAGTGGCGGCTTGAATCAGTCTTTAATTAAAGGGAGATGAGGGCCTGTGTTGGTGGCAGCATACAGATGGATGGAGGTGTACAAGCTTAACTGCCTGCACTGTTTACTTCCTACTAAGATTTTTTTTTAAATCGCCCCTAATCTGTCACATGTACTTTAAAGTTTATGCTTTGTCTTTAGAATTGTCAAATATCTCTGCATGTGTAACATTATTGCATAGTGAACATTTTTTTTAAACTAATTTAAAAAGTGTAAATTCTATTGGACAATGATTCAAAGTCTTTACATTGTCTGCCTCCTTCTGGACAGTGAGTGTAAATGCCTCTGTCAATATAATTTTTGACCCATTTGTGCTAAAATGCTGTTTTTTTTTCTGGATTAACTTATTAAAACAAAAATGTTAAAATATTGAAACTCTCAGCTTGTACATTGATAGAAATAAACTGTGCATGCTGCTTTGAGCATCAAGATGAAAGTCACTGCATGATCTGCTTTAACTTTGTTGATAAGACAACAGGTGAATTTTAATAAGTTGGAATATAATTGAAAAGTTATTTTATTTTAGTACTTTGATTAAAAAACTGAAGTTAGAACATATGCTTTCTAGTGTTATTTTTCATGCATTTATGTATGTTCATTTTAGGTTATGAATCAAACTGATATGAAAAAGTGGTTTTAATCCAGATATATCAGCCAATTGCAAACAATCTGCAATACATAATATACACCATCAGCCAGTACTTTATTGATCGCATATACTGAATTGCACATGGTGGCTGCATCTAGTTCTATCTTAGTTCTGGAGCCCTTTCCTGCCTGCAGCATCAACTTCCAAACTAACTCTTTATGATAATATTTCCTTTTCCTTTTGGATAAATAAAGTATTTTTGAATTGAATTTGATTAATCATGACTCATTTTGCAATGGTAACTTCATAATACAGTGTGGCATAGAGGCAATCTGTGAAGAAGTCAAGTGTGTCTCAGTTTTCTCTTGACAGTACTCCATAGTTTCTGCTTGAAGTGTAAGGTCAGATGAGTTTTGTGGTCGACTAAGCATAGTGGTGCCATTGTCAAATACTCAGCAGTCACCAGGTTTTACTGATCTCTGTTTCTGTGTTTCATTCCTGAAAAATGCACTTCTTCATGTTGCTCCGTTTTGTAAAGGTTTTAATTCTGACTCCAGGTGGAGCGTCTGCCAATTCTCATCGACAGCCCAAAGAAACTGGATCATCAGCTGTCCTCAGACCCCGACAGAACTCCCGTCAGCAATGCAGCGAACACTGACTCGGAGCCCGAGGACATGAACCAGCCAGGTGAGACCAAACAGATTAAAGCTGAACAGTTTGTCTACTTTTATTTGTGTTGGTTCATCCTGTTACAGCAGTGGATTATCCCACTCTCTGTTCCCACGTTTCCTGCGTACATCTTCAAGAAAGGCGTGAAATTTGTGAAATCAGGCTCACAATGGTGACAGTTCGGTTCACCTGCTGCTTGCTGCCGTGTCATAAATAGAACGAAGGCTCTTCTACCTGCCTAATTTCATGCATATGCATCTCCTCACCAACCCAATTACCCTGCATGTGGCTCCCAGCCAATCTGAAGCAACATGCCGAATAATACGACGTCCTCTCAACGGAGGATGTTGCATCCGATTTCATGTTTGCTCGTTACTCAGTTTTTTGTTTTTTTTTGTAAACAGTTTGTTGTAAACTCAAAAGGAATTCAAATATTAGGTAGTTGAACTCAAAAACTATACTTTTCAATATTATTTTGATGTTAGAATCCAGGCATCAATTTTTAAAGTGTAAATCTGTTAATTGACAACTGGTAGTTTTACTTATGCTGCATATTTCCGTACAGAAAAAGAAGAACCCAAGCTGACCTGCGAATACTGTGGCTGGGTGGACTTTGCATACACTTTCAAGGGTTCAAAAAGGTTCTGCTCTGTGGTTTGTGCAAAGAGGTAAGTTAGCTAAATATTTGCTAAATCTTCATTGATGTATAAACTCTAAAAAATATTTTGACAGATATTTATGCATAGTATAAAATATGCAAAACATTTTTATTAACACTGTCTGACATAACATCTGAGAAAAAAATGGATTTTTTAAAATTTCCATGAAGTTTGATGGTGATGGTACAATAAGTGAACTGTCTCTTTAAATAAAATGAGAAATCTCCTGATGGTGTTGTCATGGCATCAAGGTTCTGATAAAACTTATATCAAGGCACAGCTGTAGATGTATTTTAAGGTACATCTGCTTAGTTGTTTGAAAATAAAAATAAATCAAAGCATCAGTAAGTGAATTGTGACGCTCCAGAACATGCAAACCTGTAACCACAGTGGTTTCTGGTTCTGGACTACATTATGAGGCTTTTCAGGGGCATAATATTGTTGCCATGACTTCAACCCACCATTCTGTGTTAGAGCCATGCAGTTCATTGTTGGGTATAAAGAATCTATGTACACAATGTAATAAAAACATGACTTAAAAGGGTCTTCAGTTTCACCCTAGTAGTAAAGCTCAGATGTGCATGAGTGTTTAAAACAATTCTGATATTTGACAAATTGATATAAACTTGATGATCTTAACTAACCTGAAACAAGAAAGGAAGGTTTAGTCAGGCAGAGAAATGTTTTTTTTTTTTTTTTTTCTTTTATGCAGTGTATGCAAACTATGAATCTATTCAGCTTTGTATTAGGACATATTTATTAAGTGGAGTCTCTTTTTGAACAGGTACAACGTGGGCTGCACAAAACGGGTTGGACTTTTCCGGCCAGAGAAGAACAAAACAACAAATCGCTGGCGTAAAAGACCTCATGGCCGCTCTAGTATAGAAGCAAAGAAGCAGGTAAAAAGACTCATAAGTGCATTTTTCCCTCATAAAACCTTTAGAACTACTTCACAACGTGCTTTATACCCTTTTACTTTTTGCACCTTTTAATTTTATGAACTTTGGATGAACTGATTGTCTGCCTCTGTCTTAATGGGTCATTAACTGCTTTTTAATCTAAAGTGACCTTTGTTGGTGATCAGTCTGGGATTTTCTGGTCACTTCACATCTTACAAATAGAGAATAAAGAACTGAGTGGACCCAGAACCTCTGTGTATTACTGCTGAAATTCAGTGGAAATATCAAGCACAGTGTTTAGAACTTGCCTAAAATGTTTATTTGACAGAACTTATGCCTCATGTAGCTAGTCAAAGAACACCTAAATCTTTGAGGCAGTTATCAATCCAAGAATTTTTTTAGCAGTTGTGCTGTAGGTTTGACTCCTGCTTAGTTTAGTTTTCTCAGTGAACTACATCACTTGATGAATTTTTTTCCTTTTCAGAAAATGTCGCCGCCACGACCACAGCAGACCCAGGGAGGCTCTATTTCCTCACCACACGCCTCTCAACCCAGTCAGGAGGAGTCCAGCCCATGTTCAGACATGTCCAGCTACGAAGGGCCGCCGTCTCCCCTGTCGGCGGCCAGCTCTGGACCTCGCGCTCCTGCTCCAGCCTCGGCCCAAGTCCCCGTCCACCGGCAACCGAGCAGGACCTCAGAGCCAGAGGCCTGCGCCGGGAGAGACGCTGCCTTACTCAACGAGCGCTTTTTACCCAACGACCCCGCCAAGTGGAACGTGGAAGAGGTTTACGAGTTCATCCGTTCTCTGCCAGGTTGGTAGTGCTAAAGCAGGGAGATTCATGAACTCCTGCGTCCTGGAATCGTGTTTTTAATGCGTTTCTCTGCTGCCCGGACAGGTTGTCAGGAGATCGCCGACGAGTTTCGCTCTCAGGAGATTGACGGACAGGCGTTGCTCCTGTTGAAGGAGGACCACCTGATGAGCACTATGAACATTAAGCTGGGACCTGCACTCAAAATCTTTGCACGCATTAACATGCTGAAAGACTCCTAACAGAAAATGCGTGCGAATTGAGCTCAAAGCACTAGCAGCACAGAGCACTGGTTGCACTGTGACACAGCCTTCTCAGCACTACTGGACTGCTCCGTCCGCCAGCAGAAAAACTTTAAACATCCAGTTCTTATGTAATAACATGAGTTATTTCTCCATGTCTGTGCAGGTGTGAATACAGAAAGAAAGTACACATATCCACCACACTGGGTCATCCTGTGCTTCGTCTTTTTTTTCTTTTTTTGAAAGATTTTGTGGATTATAGTCATGTTTTGCTCATTCTCCCTCCCAAAAACATGCTTAGCACTTCTAATGTGCCATCAGGGAGCTAAAGAGTGTTGGTCAAAAAAACATTTATCAGCCTTACATTTCCATCGTTTAGCTTCTCCTTTCTTTGCTAAATTATGATTTTGCTCCACCAGATTAAGTCTGAGAAAGAAACCTAGTTTACAAAAGAAACCTGAGCTGCGAGAGCGAGTTGTGCTCTGTCTGGGTTTGCTCACACTGTAGCACAATCTGCACTCATTTGAGGCATTGTGATAAGCACGAGTGATGTCTGAATTTATTATATTGTTGTTCATGTCTTTGTACAGTTTTGGTGGTGTGAGTGAAAGGAAGAGACGGCTGAGAGTCTGAGAACAGAAGATTGCAGTCAATAATTGGCGTTTTTATTCGGCAGTGGCTCCTTTTTGCCTTTCCTAACAATAAGACCCCCCACAGCTATCAACGAGCAAAGCTCGACTGAATGCAGAGAAAACGATTTAAGGAGCCTCTTTTGTGTCAGCTTTCTTTTCAGTCACTAGTTTTTTCTGTAGATTTAAACTACTTGCAAATTATCTACTTTTTCAGAATAATTAACTAAAATATTACATTGATTTTCTGACTCAGGTTTAAAAGACACTAATTTATACAAGGAACAAAATGGGTTTGCTGCTCTCTCGACTCAACCCAACTTTTAGCGCTTATTTTATTTTTCTGACTTCTTTACACAATGTGGTGTGGTGCGCAATTGTTAAACAATGCAAGTTTGTCCATGTATAGCAGCTTATTTGAAGAAAAGTTTGGAACTGTTCTTTCTATAAGTTATCATTTTATTTTAAAAGAGAAATTTAATTTTGGTTAATATTTTGATATATGCAAATTTATAAAAATACCATTGGTGTTGGACTCCCTTCAGTTTGTCTATTTTTTTTAATAAAAAACTATTTGTTTGTGTGATAGAAAGTGAACTTTTTTAGATCATTCTTCGTCAAATGCCTGTATTTATGAAAACAGTTTGTTACACATTTTGCAGTTATAAATAATTTGCAGAAGATTTTTGTCTCGGTTTGCTTAATTTTTGTATGGTTTTGAATTAGTGCTGCAATGCGATTACTATTTGGTGCAAGTCAGTATGATTACAGTTTATTTATATTTAGCTATTTAATAAGTCAATATACACAAAGGGAGTATTTTTCAAGAGCTTTTCACTTCTCATTTTGGTATTGAAAAATGTGAGCAAAGAAATTTATGGGAAAGATCTCTGACTTCATATTCGTTAACAATGAGAAGCAATTGTAATTGCAAACAATTGTTAAGTGGGAGGAGGAAGTGTGGTAGAAAAACGTTCAGTTAGGGAAAACCAGTCTTGAAGGACATTTTTTGGAGATTGGAGAATTCAATAAGTATGGACATCAGGACTGTTGTCCATACTGTTGGACACCTGACAACACCAAAGGCACTGGAAGGTGATTCAATAACCATGTGGTTATGCTTTATAGAACAGCAGATTCAGCTATCTAAATACCCTCAGAGGATTTATGGAGTATTGTCAAAGAGAAGATGAGACACGAGCCAAAGTGGATGAAGATGAGGTGCTATTAAACCAATCTGGGCTTCTGTACCACCTCTGCAAAGGCACATCCTGACCAAATACATTAGATTAATGTGCTTTTCAGGAAACCCGCATTTATTAATTAAAACTTTAAAAGTCTTTTTCATTAGTTTGATGCAAATTTCCTTTCTGAGTAGCAGAATTTCGAAAATGAGTTATAATCCTGTAACTGCACAGAAACGCAGGGAATATATCACCGTGTAATGAATCGCTATGAATTTCACTTTTCGAATCGAATAACTTTTAATTAATAAACGTTTTAGGGAATTCTCCACCTACAGTACAAAGGAACAGGATCTTGAGTCAAGGCAACGATAAAACTTTCCCAAATGGTATATATTAAATCACACGTTACGATGTGACTCCATTAAATGTGTTTAGAATTCGGAAATTTAACGGAGACTGAAACGTGTGTCTGAATGTAGTTATTCTGTTTACATTGGTTCATCCGGACTCTTTCAGTCGGCCGATCTTTCTCGAAGCTGGGGCAGGAAACATGATATTTCTGGTCCACAAGTAGTTGTTTTATACAAAAGGGCGTTTCTACAAAAGAATCGACCGCTTTCCGTTTTGTTTCCACTGCGTTTAAAAAAAAAAGAAAGAACAGGTGAGATCGGTTGTATTAGAACTGAGTGAAAAACAGCATGAAGTTACAGGACAGACCCGCCCTCTTGTTTTGATTTGAGATTTGGATCAAACTAAATAAAGTTGCGCATATCTGAGGTATTTCTTACTAAAATGAATACAGGTTAAAATTTTACATTTAAACGGTTGTGTCTTGTTTTAACCGAGGCGTACATACAGGTTAAAATGAAGCGGGGCCGCAAAAATATGTGCTTTTAACTTCCACGTTTATTTCAACGTGAATGGTTTGGTCCTGGTTTGAACTTGAACGTTGACGCAGACGTCATTTAAACGGCTGATACATTCACTGTCAGTCTGACGTTTCACTTCTCGAGTCATTTAAAAATCAACACCGGGTAAGTTAAATATTAAAAAGCTTAGTTATTAAAGCGGTGTAATTTTATGTGTTTATGTTTAAAGTCTCCTCTTTAGTATCTGAATGTGTCTGTTTGCACAAACTTTATTCACTTTGAGAAAACGGATAGAAATTGCTACGTCCTATTAGTAGTCCTGGATTTGGAAATGCTTGAATCTAACTAAACTACAGAATGAAAAGTTAGTTGGTTAATGGTTAATATGTTCACCTTGTGCTAAAATCGTTTTTAACGTTGACACTATTGAATTTTGCTAACTTTGCAGCTCTTTTCCTAATTCTGTGGAGGTTGCTGAAGTATTGTACACTTATCATTTGCAAAGTATTAATTTAATAAGAGTTCGGTCGTTTTATTGACCGGCTTCAAACTCTAAAGAATTTGGCCCTGAATGTAACACCGACACACAAGAGCAAAGGGGAGAAAGTTAGCTTACAACTAACCTTTAGAATAACATCTACTGTAGCTTAATGTGCTACTGAAAGCTAAAGAGTTATTTTTCAGTTGGCTGACCTCCAATATTTTATTTTTATATGTAATAAAATACAGTATAAAATGTTAAAAGTTGTAATAATTATTTGATTCAGTATTGTTTTAGTAAACAAATTAGTTTTTCATTGACCAACATTGGCCCTTCTTATATTATTTAATAAATGTATTTATATTACTGACTCAAAAGTTTTCTCCACATTGAAACATATGCTATAGTTAAGATCCATTCAAATGTATGACATAAAAACCATTTGACTACTAACAATGAGAGAGAAAGACACAAATCTATAGATACCTAAATTCGATTAGTCGCAGCTGTAAGTACCTGTTTCCACTAATTATCCAGTTATGTCTTGTTAATGAGGAAAATAAATGTTGGCTGCTGCAGAAATGTCCGGTCAAAGAGAAGAGCCCTTTGATGGTTCCCCAGCTGACCTTCCCAGTCTGGAAAAACTCGACTCTCCTACAGGTATGTGAAGCTTAATTAGAACAGCTCCTGTCCTCAGACACCTTCAGAGCCTATTAGTAATTGAATTACTACTACTACGGCACTTTTAATTATCCGTGGATGTGTGTGTGTCTGTGTGCATCAGGGAGTCCACCCACTGCCTCATTATCCAGTCTGATGGAGCTGGAAAACTGTGTTTCCAACCTGAGCCTTGCACATGAGATAGTGGTGAACGGAGACTTTTGCATCAAACCAAAAAGCCCTCCCACTGACAGGCAAGATGCATTTAACCAGTTATTGCTTCACAAATCAAAACTGTTGCGTTAAATTAAACAGTTGCTTCTGTTTTAGCCTGGAGGGCAGAGTGACAGACATCATTCACCGGGCGTTTTGGGACAGTCTGCAGGAACAGCTGAGCAGCGATCCCCCAAACTACAGCCAAGCAGTTATCCTGCTGCAGGAGGTCAAAACTGTAAGTTTTCTTTAATTTGAAGAACACTTTTTGAAAAGCCAACCTTTAATTCAGAGATTTAGCAGGACAGGCTAAATCTCTGAATTAAAAAAACAAGCATTATTTTTAACATTATTTTGTTTTCAGCTATATTAAATACTCACTAAACAAAAAAAATTGTTTTCTTAGACATATTTATAAAATATTACATGAAAGGAATAAAATATGTAAAACACTCAATCCCCCATGAACAGAGATGTTTGTACAGAAGTACCGTCTGTGATTATTCTGGAAGGAATGTTAAAAGTGCATTCATTCAAGACAGAACTCAAAATTAACCGTGCTAATAGGCGTCATGTTTTTTCCTGCGTTATGCCCTTTGCTTGTTCTGTCATCGCATCCTCACCTTCATAGCACATCAGTACATTCTGAATGAGAAGTTGACGATTCTCCGTCATGCAGATTGGTTGAATGATTGCTATTAAGATGATAACTTAAGGAGCTTGTCGAGTGTTTATATTTCAAAACAGAACCGCATAAAGTGCATTTTGCAGCATGCACCAGACTCTGTTCTGACAGATGACTCTTTCCGCATTCTGGTATGGCTCCGCCATCTTTGTTTCTGTGTGACTGGCTTCTCTTAAGGATGACCAGCGTTGCCCTCTTCTGGATGGCGATGAAACTACAACACTAAAAAAAACATCTAAATGGATGTTATTAGTTAATTGATTGATTCATGGATATAATAATCCATGAATCAGCAGTTAATTGTAAATCAATTAACTGTTTGCATCCATAATTCAGAGAATCAGAGATGATTTACGATGAGGGTTTAATAACAAACATTTTGGTAAAATGACAGCAACACATCTTCTGTTTCCTTTCAGATGCTTGGGTCACTGCTGCTGCCTGGTCACGTCAGGTTGAGGACTCAGCTGGATGAAGTTCTGGACATGGAGTTGATCCAGCAGCAGGTCCTACATGGAGCGCTGGACCTCCACAGGCTGGCAGGATTTGTCATAAACATGATGGCATCTTTATGCGCTCCTGTGCGTGACCCCGAGGTCAGAGCACTGCGAGACCTCAAAGAGCCCTTGGAGCTCCTTCGGTAAGCAGCGTGATCTGTCACATTTTTGTAAAAAAAAAAAATGCCATAAAATATAACAAAAAGATTAAAAATATGTCAGTCCAATCATCACTGTCACTCCTCTTAAACACATTTCACATTTTGTTACAACAAAAAGCCCTTCACAAAACTCCATTGCATTTAAACTGAGATCATCTTACACACAGATAAAATGTGTTTATAATTAGGTGACTTGAAGTTAATGGGTTGCACTGGATTTTATTTACTGTAGGTGAATCATAGTATAGGGGGCTGAATGCAAATGCACACTTTTTAGATTTTTATTCCTGAAAAAGGTTAAATAATGTGTGCCATCTCCTTCCACTTTCCAATTATACACTACTTGGTGTTGGTCTGCTGCATAAAATCTCAATAAAATCCATTGAGAGGCTGTGCTTTTAATGTGACAAAATGTGAAAACCTTCTATAGATATGAAACCCTTTTCCAAGGGACTGTCAATAAAAAAGTAAAAGTAAGTAACCTTTTCCTCCAGGGGTATCTTCCGCGTCTTGGGACTGATGAAGAGCGACATGGTTAACTTCACCATCCAGAGCCTGAGGCCTCATCTACTGCAGGAGGCTGTGCAGTATGAGAGAGCCAAATTTCAGCAGATCCTGGACAAACAGCCAGGTGAAGGGGGGGAAATCTATCTTTGTTTCACTCCTCAGTTTTAATTAAGCAGTGACAGAGATATATGTAGATGGCATAGGTGACTTTGTGAGGGAAACATTTACGGTAATTTAATGTCTCGGTATTCAATTAAACAGATTCTGACCTCTGTCGCACTAAATCACCATCCTCCACTTTTTTTATCTACCAATGCCCTGTGTGAGAAACTGAGCTAGCAGTCACACAGATATTTAAAGTAAAACTAAAGCTACTGATTAATATAACAGCTTCCACTTCTATTGTTTTACTGCCTCTTCAGAACACAAATAAGTTTTGTAAAAAATAAAAATAAATAAATGTATATCTGTATTTGAGGCACAACTTCTCATCTGTAAGCTCTGGAAATGGCAGTAACAGCTGCATGGGAAAAAAGAGCAGAGTAATTTTACCTGACAGAAACAATATTGTTGCCATCTACAGTCATAATAAATAAATTCTAATTTTATTGAAAAGTTTATTTCAGTAACTGTGCTCACTATGTAAAACATATCACATAGTCTATTTATACACACAAAATTAAATTTTAAAGCCATTTTTTTTCCTGTCTACTATGACTTTTTGCTGACCGCTAATGAAAATGAAAATACACCATTAATGATTAGAGCATTACATCACACAAATAAAAAGACATCAATACATTAATCATTAAATTTTGTTTCATTTGCCTTTTAGATTTTTTCTAATATTGCATAAGAAAAGTTCAAATGGTAAAATGAAAAATCTGCAAGTGAATGTGCCAATTTTTTAAATCCATTTAATGGATTTAATGGATCCATTGAGAATAATTAATGGAAGAGAATAATTGATAGCTAAAACAATGTTTAATTGCAGTCCTATTCTTGTGCTGTAAAAAGCTCATCGGAGAAAAACATCAAGATGTCTCATAGTTGTCCAATAGTAGAAATGTTTTGCTGTGAACGTTATAAAACCTCTTGAAAGCATGACCCAATCTGAATCTGTATAATCCAAAAAACTCAAGAGATCCTCAGCGATGTTTGCAGCACGGTTTAATTGTGTGTTTTATTTAAGCATGTCCCTCTTCTTGTCTCAGCTTCTCTAGACAACACAGCTGCTTGGCTTGTGGCGGCAGCGTCCGAGGAGGCGGCGGCGCTCCCAGCTCACTGTGACTCTCCCGGTCCTGACAGTCGAGCTCTCCCCAGCGCCACTGCTATTCTCAACCGCGCCTACATGCATCTGCTCCACTGGGACCCGCATGGCCAGAAATATCCCGAGGTCAGCGACAACTCAGAAAATTACACCTTTCATTACACTATGTGATATTTTATTGATTGTGGGGGGAATATTCAGCTGCTCTGTGCACTCTTCCTCACCCTGCGGCATGTTAAAGCATGTGACAGGACACTGGAGCTCTTGTAGAACAGCAGCTCCGAACCCTTTTATTACACGTATCAACACGGCAATGTCGGATGAAGTTACAAACTCGCCGATCAACATCGTGTCCCCTCCGCATACTTGGTCTGAATTCGTCTAGAGCTTAAAGTCACTCACGGCAACGAGGTGACCGTGTTTTGCAGAGCATGCTGATGGACCGGTCCCGCCTGGACGCTCTGAGCCAGCAGCTCCAGATGTTGGTCCTGGAGGCCTCCGTGTTGCTCCTGACCGCCACTCACTGTCGGGGCGTCACTTTCTCCCTGCAAGGGTTTGTAGGTAAACTCAAGCAGACGATCACTGCCCTGCTGGAGGGCAGTCACACCAGGTAAGAGAAGGACTGGGTGATGCATGTACTGGCTGTCGTGGAGAACAGGTATTGTATGAGATGGACACCAATGGAGGTGACAGGAGGCAACGAGGTTGTCAGGACAGATCCAGCTAACCTCATTCTTTCTGTTTAAGAATAGCCTTGCCATTATTATTGGATGGCAGTAGTCCAACAACTTTATAATCCTACTATTTATTAATTTATTGCAACAGGCTTTTAATTAATCAAAATATCTACCCCGGAAATTAGCGATCTGCATAAAAGAATGAATTTCTATAAGCCTGATAGATTTGAGCTGTTGCATATTTTAATGCTACTTTCTGTTTCTCCAGGGAAGCTGACCTGAAGAGGGCCCTGTTGGAGCTCAGGGAGGCGGTGCTGCAGCAGGTGAAAGAAGCTCTGAGCACCCAGGGGGGAGGAGAGTTTCCCAAGGAGAGCCAGGATCTGCTGAGAGGACAAATATCTGACCTGTGGAAGAATAACAACCCAGTCCGCTCACTTATAGGTCAGGCAGGATTCCAAGAGTAGTTATTTTCCAGGCACTTACTGGTTTATTCTGGTTGTTCTCCTTAATTAAAGTGTGGTGCAGAAAATGCAGATACCTTAATGGGAAAATGGATCAATTTCAAGCTACAAAGAAAAAAAAAATGCCTTGCACAGAAACTACTGGGCTGGAATATTAATCACTTTCGTCCTGATTTACTGCAGACTTTCATGCCATCTCCCATAAACAGATTATTTTCTGTTTATATGACTGCCACACACCTCAATTTGAGCTCTCTGGCTAAAGTAAGCACTATTAGATCAATGTGTTCAAATCTAACTCATTTCTAGCCTCTACCGGTGTTCCCCAAGGTTCTGTCTTCAGTCTTTTCCTGTTTATCTCCTTTCTTTTTTTAAATATCTTCCTGAAAAATTTATATCAATTGAGTTTAACATTCAAATGACACTCAAATCTTCAAACCTCAAATCACTGTTTCTGTACAAAACATCATGTTATTTCTCCTCCAACTTTCTCGATTTAAGCAGCGATAAAACTGAGATTTTAATCGGCTATTTTCAAAATCTCTTTAACTCCCATCCTTTGAAGTTCCTAAGACAGTTTCAGTTTGCTTACAACTTTGCTACATACTTTTTTTTATTATAAAACACCAGAATCTCTTCCAGTAGTTATTTTGCTCCTTTTTCTCCCCCCAAACAGCTTGGCTTCCATTGGATGTGTATTCACTCCATTTATAAATTTGCATCTGTGCATGTTTTCGGTTCTGTCTGCATTAAGTTACCTTGTCAAATAAGGAAGTCCATAAGTGCCACAGTCCTCTAAAAAAATTATAAAGCAAATATTTACATATTTAAATAATAATAAAAAAAGAAACCTTTTAATAAGTTAGAAATTTGAATTTTAAGTCACCATATCTTCAAAACAATTTTAAGTATTTCATTTTTTCTGTGCTACAGTCTATCAAAATAATTCAGATTTTCAAATTGGCTTGTCAAATAGACCTTAAAATCTGATTGGTTGACTTAACAGGCAGACCAATGACCACTGAATTTAGGAAAATGAGGAAATTATTTCACCTGAAACTGTTAAAGCCTAACAGTGATAGAAATTCAAATATTTTTGTTTGCTTTTAAGGTATATTGATTTAATTTTTTTATTTATTTTTCTACATTTAATTTTTCTTTACTCATCTAATAAAATATTGACGTGTAAGAGTAGAGACAAATTTACTTATACAACAGATGTATTTACAATTTAATTTAAACTACCACATATAAATGCGTTTTGAAAAACTAATTTTTCATTTGTAGAACTTTTGACCCATTTTAATGTTGTTTGATCTTGCACTTGCTCTGTAAACCTTTGGCATCTTAACAGGCTTTTAAATGAAATATATTATTAATGTTTGTTAAAAGCTTGTGTTTAGGGACGCACAATTTTCCCCCATAAGAGAAGCATGACTTGAAACCAGCCATTTTCTTTCTTAGCTAATGGGAGAAAATAGCGAGCACTTTTTATGTTTCTCTTTCAGTGTTTACGTGCTTTCAAACTTTGATGAAAGCCTCTGCACAGTTCTGACTTTCTTCCATTTTTCTCTCTGTCCAACACAGGAGAAAGAGTTCGGGGCTTCCTCCTGGCCATGCTGCAAGGCGGCTCGGCTAAAAGGCGTCCAGAGCTGCCGTTTCCCCTCGGGCTGGTGAGTTCCGAGCTCACAGAGTTGGGGACGGCCTTTGGGCGAATTGTCCACTTCAACCGAACCGTCTTCGGTCCCTTCTACGCACCCATCCTCAGGAAGCTGCTGCTGCCGTCAGGAGAGAGTGAAACTGGGGAGGACTCGCGCTGAGCCAAAGAACCCCACAGTGACATGATCATAAGCTAACATTTTGTTACAATTTTGCTTTTTAATTATGAGTGTCGGGTGAGATGAAAATCTGTAAATCTGTGTTGCTGAACTTGTTTAGTTATATTTAGAGTGTACAGAAACTGAATATTTTCTCAAATGTCAGGACTAAAGAGTGAGTGAAAGCATAAGGCAGTTACTGAATTCTAGCAAATTTGTGTTCATAAAACAAGAATATATGTAGCAGAAATAAATAGCAAGAGATAAAAATGGAAAGACGAAAATATATGCTAAAATATTGTAAATAATAGTTTATGTATGAATTACCAAAGACATTGGGCACTTTTCTTTTATTTCTTTTTATTCTTCTTTTGCACCTTTGATTATAAACCAGATATAGATACTGTTATAAGGGAATGGTGTAAATAAACCGGATTTTATTGGGAAACAAAATGCTTTTTTTTTCCTTTTTCATATTTCACAGCCATTCAAACATCTCAAATTACAGAACAAATAAATAAAAATACATGAATCTCAAACAAATACTCTTAGAGAAAAACTATATTTAAAAATAATGAACTGAGTAAAATAAATATCCTACAGATGGCCTTCGTAATAATGTGTGGTGCTTTATTTTGGGGTTTCTTTGTAGTAATAAGTAATGCAGTTTGTTTATATTTTGTTTCTTTTCTTGGCCTGCTGCTTACTTACAACACAACGTTCCAGACTGAGAGCCATGATCAACGATTAATGTGAAAATGTGTGAAGTGCTCATTACGTCTTTTCACTTAAGAAAATGAACTTACACTTATATTCTTTAATCTTCCACAGTGGAGCAGTTATATTTATACTTTTAATGAGATTTTTGAAATTGATAAATATATATCTTTAAGTTTATTTTAATAATAAAGATGTGGTGTAAATAACCTTCAGTTTGTATTAGTTTTAGTCGCATTTTTGGGTTTCGTTATGAAATTGAACCTCGGGGCCTGGTGGTCTGCAGGGAATCATTTAGACCAGACAATCATCTGAGTTACTTGGTGCACTCATCTCTGCAGAACTTGATTACGTACCAAACTGGTACTTTAACCTCTTTGAAGAGCGGTTTTGGATCTTGGATCCTTGAAAACAAACAAAAAATAAATAAAACAATGTGAATAGGACACCAACCTCAGTAATGAGTTCATTATTAAGTCTACAGTGTTAAATTACTAAGATTTTTGGAAATTAAAGATATCCACATCAAAATGAGGTGTTTTATAAAAATAGTGGAATTCCTTTGTCATCAGCTAATATAAGTTTTCACAGCTTTGCTTCTGATTGGTTGATCAGTCCCTCATGATGGCTCCTGCCCTGAAACTACATTCAATGAGATGGATTTGTAATTTCAGACAGAACTATCAAGAGGACTAATCAACCTTTCAAAATTTTATTGAATTATACTTTTCTTTCCTTACTTTATATACTATTTTATGTTTGTCTTTTTTGTATGAATTTTCTGCAACCTTTTGTTCTTCCTCTGTACACAGAGTGGAGGCTCTGTCAGCTTCAGTAAGTAAAATTATTTGGAGAGGTTTTATGTTTAATATTAGTAAAGTGGTTCCACCATGACCCAAAAGAAACCTCCAGATGGCAAAACACCTGCAGTAGAATAGATGCCCTTCTTGTGGTTAGTATAATGTATTTATTGTTCTTTGATGATACGTACATTAAAATCTTGATGCAGATTTTTTTTTTTACCATAATCATTTGTACTTAGGAACAGTACATAGGAAGTGAGTGTTGTGCAGTTGGCTTCCTCTATAACAAAGATGAATCAATATGAACTTTAAAAAATCTAAAATTAACAAAGCTAACTGTGATAGAGTATGCAACCTTGTGACTCAAGGTAAAGGTGTTTAAGCAAGTTTCAAAAATCTGAGTATAATTATTTAGGCTATATCTTTAATTTACTCTTTTGTGAAATCTTCATCCTGTTGAACAATTCTTCACAGTCTTAATAAAATTAATTTTTTTGTTTGCTTTTTTAAATCAGTTTACATCAACGAAGCACAATATGAGAAAACAGTGGGGATGCTCCTTTAACTTTGAGTGAATTTTCTGCTGTCTCAGTGAGGTGGATGGGAAGTTACAGAGCTGTGCATCAGCTGCAAGCTAAATGTTCAGAAAGCCTCAAACATGTCAGGTCGGCTAACAATTCATCTTCTTGTTTTAGGGGATTTCCAGGGTCCTGTGCCACAAAGATTTTTGACTTGTTTCTTTTGCTAAAACTTTACTGACATTGTTACAGAGATTATATATTTGTTTTTACATGTTTAGTACAGCACGTAAAAAATACAAGGTAAATCTGTGTTTAAAAATATGTTGCAGAAAGTGAAGTGTTGTAATTCATGTCATTCCCTGTTACGCTTAAAATCAGTCACTTGACATTTAATTTTTTTGTTCATACTTAGATGGTTCTCTGAACACCAACACTGACACAGCAGTGCTAATCTTTGTTTCTTTCTTTCTTTCTTTCTTTCTTTTTTTTCCCAAAGATCAGTGAGCGCTTCAGCTCTGCAACTTGGAAATAATAAAGTACAAGAGAGGCACAAACGGGGCTAATCGTTTGTTTAGATTAGAAGTCGCACCACCCACTAATCTTGTTCAGTGGGGGAAACAATGAAAGCACAATTGTACAATAATTACCATCTTGTAATGTCACTTTTGATTTCAAACAGCTGGTGTAATGTGTCTGTTTTTAACTGCTCAGCCATGTAAAGAAAATCAATGCTGACAACAGACTTAGGAGGGTTTCTTTAGGCTTTGTATTATTTAATATCATGAATATAATATTGCTTTGAAATTTGAAACAGTATCACATTTTCAACAACAAACCATACTCTGACCACAAATATGGGCAAAGCATTGTATGCTGGTACAGTTTATTTTTTTCTCTTTTGTTACCCCTTTTCAAACCGCGCTCTTGCCATCTTCAGTAGACCCGAATCAACAGAAATTCTCATTAATGGTCTATGTTACTAACGGTCTACAGTGCTCTATACATAACAGTACCTACATGACAAGATCCGTAAGTCACACGGAGGCCAGGAAGTAGACTTGACCTTTCTCTCTCGAGACAGGAGTGATATACAGGTCCTGTTCAGCCAGTGATGTGGGACCACAAGTTACCTTTTGACTGTGAGTTGGGAATTCATCTCGGGGGCAGTGGAGGAGCAGGAGGTGTACAGAGTGAGATCTAAATGTCAGAGTAACGCTGTTTGGCCCCTTCTCCCTCTCTCTCTCTCTCTCTCTCTCTCTTTTAACCATTTTCCCACTGCTTTGTGCACTAATTCAACACACGCAAACACACTCGCATCAGCTGCTCCCCTTCAACTCACAGCTTGGTGTCCGGAAACTTGAACGTTGGGGCGAGCTACACAGGGAGAATACGAATGTTAAAAAGAGGACAGGTACATGCACAGCCACATCATGCTACCAATTCTTGCTTTAAATAGCTGCTCTTCATTAAAGTGTAATGCCTTTTTTTTTTTTCTTTTATAGTGTGCAGCCATACGCGAGCAGGTTGTCCTGGAGACACACAAAATGGAGGGGACGAGTGTGACAAAAATGGTGAGAAGGGTGGAAACGGAGGGATGGGTGATGAATTAGCATGTAAACAGAGAGTGGGAACATAAAAGACATATGGCAGATGAAAGAGTGGAGACGAGACGCTGCTACAGTACAGTACATACAGAGACTGCTCAGGCCAAATGCATCAGAGGGGACAGAACACAAAGACACTGCCAAACATGCATCATCAGTGGAAGCTAACAGATAAAAGTCAGAACAAAGTGGCAATGACACAACCACAGTGTCATTGCAGCTACATCTGCACAGTCTCCAGACACACTGTCTTTTGGAGAAGAGCTCCCTCAATCCTCCTGCGGCACACAGAAACAAGGACAGCGGCCAGTGATGTAGCAGTCCAAACATCCATGAGGACAGACAGAAACAAGGCGAACAGCACACACGGTTGGCAGTGCACAGGAGGGGGCACCCAGTCATGTCTCATCGTCACAATCAGCATCTTTTTTTTTTTTTCCCCCAATCACAGTGCAGGAGGAAAATACTTGGTTCAAAAAATAACCATGTGTTGTATCCAGATTTACATACTATTTGCATTAACTAGACGGAAAAAAAAGAACACTCTCAATTACGTGAAGTGACATACTTTACGTGTACTGTACCAAATTCGGAAGTGGAGTTAAATAGAAAGCTACGTATAATCATGTATAATAAGCTTACCATGAAGGGAAATGTGCACCAATCTCTGCCGGGGGCTCATTAATATACCGGAGTTAAAGGGACAGCTCAGGATTTTTGAAGTGGGGTTATGTTGGAAGGTTATTAACAGTAAACATCTTAGTTAGTCCTGGGGGCTGAAGCTAACAGCTAAAATAAACTAAGTGGACTTCTACCATCTTAAAAATAAACTCTAATATGTCACAGCAATTTGTGCAAAGTCTTTTTATGAACTTTTAAACAAAATAAATGCTTGTGTTTGGAGATTATTTAAATAGAAACTTTAGATTTTTTACTCTCTAAACAGACACAGGAGGAGGTGCAACAACAATTAACTTCCTGCGTGTAACAGCAATTGAAAATGGACCATGGAAATAGTCATCGCAATGGTCTGATATAAAGCTAAAGGTTGTAAAATTAATAATAATAAAAACATTGCTAATTGATTTTTGATCTGCATTGTTTTTTTAAAAGTAAGTTAATCTATGTGAGAACACCATTTTATAAACCTTTCAACCATTGAAACTGCACTTGAAGATTATTTACATAGAAGTTGAGGATTATTTGCGCAATGATTTTTACTAAAAATGTACAGAGAGCAGAACCTGTAAAGTGTTTCTGCCCAGAACATCCAAAGAGTAATATGCTTGATTTCAAATCTGTGGATAGCTTTGACTAAACAAAACCTGGTCTTAAGTCTACGCTTAAAACAAAATTCAGCAAGTTATGCAAACGCGTCAGAATGCATGAACCGAAATTTAAGGATAGCTTCATTAAGTTCAATATGAATTAATTAGATTTTTTTTCGGTTATGGTCTTGAAGAACCAATAAAAAAATGTTAGAGAAGAGCCTCTATTTTTGTCTGTTTGAGAGCTAAAAGTTGTAAAAATAAAATAAAAAAAAAAAACAAAAAAAAACAAGAGGACAGTGACAGAATTTTTCTGAGCCAGTTGAAGAACAGAGTTTATATTGTGTCATAAAATAAGTCCTTATCAACTTGAAATGACAATAAAACCAAGAAAGAAAAATAAGCCATTCTCTGCAACACCAACCGAGTTTCACCAAAGTTTGAATTTGAAGTTGGGGAGAGTGAACAGCGTCATTACATTGTGCCAGAAAAGTGCAAACTCAGCACATTTTTCGTGCAACTAAAGAAGAGGGATTTGTTTGTCCAGCCTACATTATAGAGACCAGAAATTTATGATTATTGGCTCACTGATACAAAAAGTAACTTTGAGATGTAACAGAAGGGTGTTACCAAACTATTGGGTGAAGATTTTTAAGATAAAATGTTTCTAATTGCTTGAAAAGTTTATCAGGGAACACATTGCTTCTTATTTTTATTATTCAGTCTCCTCCTGTGAGTCAGAAACATGACTGTTAGGTTAACTGGTCTTTCTAAATTGCTATAAGTGTGTCGTCTGCATGGTGTTTGTCTTGTGTGTTTCTTTGTTGCCCGGTGACAAAAAGGAAGCACATGCAAGGAGCACCAGGCCTCTCACCCAAAGACAGCTGGAGGTCAGCATCAGTACCCTCCCAACCCGCCGCAAACCTTCAAGGGTGAAGCAGGTACTGATGATGAATGGATGCATGTGCTTCACACAGGAAGGTCATTGATGGCACACCTCTTTTAACCCAATTCTCTATGTAAATACTCTTCAGTTTCAGTCTAAATAACTGCCAAACAGAAAAGTGGCATCAGAGAAGTTCATAAAACACAATTAAATTTTTCAGTTTGATGTTTTGGGAAAGAAAAGTCCCCCCCCCTCTCATATTACTTTTTAACTTCAGCCTTCAGGACATGATAACTTTTTGAAGACACCAAAACACTTGTTTTTACTACAGGTAAGATATTAATGTATTTTTCTTCATATCATATCCTCACTTCAAAAGTCCTAAACTATTGCTTCAATGAACTGATCTTTGATTGTAGATTACAAAAATAAGTAAAGCTTGGGACTACTGCCAACATCCTAAATATGCTTACTTTTATTTTCTTCTTTTTCTTTGTCTTTTCTTTATGATGTTACCTCTGTCGAGATATTTATAATCCGTTTTCGATTACCTCCCATCTTTAAAAAAGTATCACAAAATGCACTAATACTACACTTGCACTATAAGAAGACAAAGTTTTAAAAGGGATAGTGCTGTTTTTTTCGTTCTCTTTTTTTTTTTTTTAAACACAGTGCTTTTAGTTTTGCTTTTTAAATGAAGAAGATTCGCAGGCTCTCAGCGCTACCATTAATGCTGACAGGCACTGGGCAGTACAAGGCCAGACTCATCTCAACAAACCTGTACCATCATCTACACGTCTTCCCAGCCAGTCACAGTTAGATACAGCAGTTAATCCAAAATGTAGCTTTTTTTTCCCTCTCCTTTCTGTTTGTTAAAAACTGGTTGTAGGCGTGCAGCTGTTGGGTGCTGGAGTTTGGCAGGAAAGGGGATCGGGTGGGTTTTTTTTAGTTGATTATAGTTACTGCAGTATTGTGTAAGGAGGTTTCAGTTCTCAGTCCGCTTTGAGTTCAGACATCAGTGATAGATTTGTGACCAATCCATATGTGGTCTTACTATGAGTACTGTACAAATGAGTAAAAAAATACAGGTTGTTTGCTGCATGTTGCTGTTTTTGTCTTTCACTTTTATATATATTTATATATATATATATATGTTTTTTTTGTCCATCTTGCATCCCATGCTAGCAAAGCAGCCTCCTCATAGTGCCTCACAGTGGTAGATGCCTGGTAAGACAGGACAGGCTAAAGATGGAGAAAGAAAAAAGTATATAACTGTCTTGAAACAAAACAAATTAAGTCAAAAATAAAAAAATATATATACTTAAAAATGTGAACACAACATCGTCACTCTGCAGAACTGACATCTATATCGCTGGGAGTCTTAAAGGAACAGGTCAATATTTTGAGAACAATGTTGTTCCCTTCTTGCAGAGAATGAAGACTGATAACCCACTAACAGCCATGGATAAATGTTAATATATTGATATTAACATGTGAATGACACTTCTGTTTTTATTGTAATCCATCCAAAAGAAAACAAAAATACAAACTGAACCCTGATGGTGTTAAAAATACAACCAAGTTATAAATAAAAACACATTTTCCAACAAACTCAAATATTTTTTTTGTCTAAATTCCCTAAACGATTATTAACAAGTCCAAAAGTCTGGAAAATATTTTTTTCTTTTACTAGTACTATAAACATATCTTTAAAAGAAAGTAAAAAAAAATCCAATGTCTAATTGGAGCTAATGTGTTCAGTAATGGGAAAAAAATCAATATGATGAAATAATTGTTCTTCAGATAAATCCTAAAGAAATTATTGTAAATGAAGCACATTTGTCCATTGACTTTAAAATAAAGATAGATATTTACAAAAAAATATGAAAACTTAAAAACAAAATTTCAGTTCATCTTTACATTTTATTTTAATAATGTTTGATTATCTAAATAAAACATGTACTATAGATCATCAAAAAATGTTAAGAAAAGCATGAAAAGTCTGTTTTTACTACCCTATCAGTCCAATTTTCTCATTTCCTTCTTGATTTTAATATTTGTAGACCTCCATTTCTACTGTAGGATGTAGGAATTACTGTTGATGCCATTTTCAATGTATGCTAAAATTCACTATTTATACTCCAGGTCTGACAAATAACCGTGGGAGCCATGTTGAATGCAACAGCATGACCTCTGTAACACAGAGTAATTACAAACTTAGATTTTGACCCCTGCAGATAATATGTAGAACAAAACTGAGCCTCTCTTACAAAAATATTAATGGCTACCACTATTCTCAAATCTCTGCAAGAAAATAATCAACATTTTCTCCCAAAATGTCAAACTGTTCATTTAAGGGTTAAGCCTACAGACCAATTTAGCCTTACACAAACCATTCCAACATATCTAAAAATACTTGAACTTGCTGTGAAGTCAAGCTTGAACAAATCAAAAATGAACATACTTGTTTTGCCTGTGGAGAAAACCAAAAAAACAAAAAACAACAAAAAAAAAGTCTTGAAAGAAGAAGAAGAATAAAGATGCAACCTCTGGGAGCTATCGGGGATTT